GAAAACGTTGAAAACGTTGAAAAGTATAGATCTACTCTACTTAGAATCTCTAACCAAAGTTGTGAACGAATTGGACTGATTTTAAACAACTTTTAAAAAAGGGGTACAAATTTCAGTCCCAACAGGTGGGCATATGATCCTCAAGACTTTCAAATGAGGTTATATCAAAAATACAATTTTCTTCTTTTTATATTTATGCACTTATAAGTCTGATGGGCGGAATAAAAGCTAATGGCAGACTTATTAGATTATAAAAGCAATTTTTTTTTCTTTTACCAATTTCAACCTTTCCTTCAACTTAATAATAAGTCTTTACCTTGCATTTGTGTTTGTACAAAAATCCTATAAATTAAAGCGAGTTTTTTGGTGGTAATATGAAAAAGTAATGAGTTTGAATTCTATAAATACTTTAAAAACAAATGTTATTTACTTTGTTTATTTCTTATTCTCATTTTACACTCTTATCCCTCCCTCCTTATCTTATGGGAACTCACCACACACCAACTCATCATCTCCGCGTGGACAGTCCAGGATGCCATTGCAGACTTGTGACATGTTCACACAGGTGCGGTTGTCACATGGAAAGCTTCCTGGACAGGATGGGATCCGAGAAGAGCCTGAAAGATGAAAATTTACTACTAAAACAAAATGTTTTCGTTCACATCAAAATATAATCTGTAGCATCACCTCCAAAGAGTTACCAAATTTACTTGATTACTCAAGGACATAGAAACAACCTTTCCATCAAAATGACAAATAAAAGCAACATTCACAGAACATCTATAGAATTAAACGTATTACAGGAAAGAAAAATAGATGGGTCCAATGGGTTACAAAGCCACGTCACCACAAAAGTTTTCTGTGCCAATAGTAACAGTCGATTGGCGTTAGATGGAGCTGAATAATAGCCAAATCGTAGAAGCTCTTTGATCGCTCAGAGAAATGGTTTCTTATCTTGGAGTTACATTTCTCAGACTGAAACGCACCAAAAAATAAACTATGAGAGGATGAACATCGGACAAGCTTTCAAGGATTGGGGGTTTAAGGGAGCAAAGGGGCTCATTAGCCAAACAGAGGTCATCACCTTGTTAATGGAAAGGTAAGTTAAATGTTTCCTAGTCTTAACCAGGGGGGATTTACCATTAGGCAATACCAGGCAGTTGCCTAGGGCCCCAAAGTTCCTGGGGGTCCCATAAAACTCTGTTTACACACTGGAAAAACGATCTAGAAATAAGTAAAAATGTCTCAAATTAAGTGCATTGATTAATTTGAGTAGGTTAATGAGATGATTTGCCAATGGAATGAGTATTTTTACTCTTAAAAAAAGATATTTAGATAAAATGCACTTAAAATAAGAAAAATGCAATTGTGTTTCCTTATTTAAATGTAAATTGTCTTGTTCCATTGGCAAAATGTCTGTTTTACATTCTCAATTTAAGAACAAATGCACTTATTTTAAGAAAAAAAT